TACGCTAGTCTAGTAAATTTAATCTCCAAAATAAAACAAATGGGTTTCAAGTACATTATTTGCCCACCAACAAATGCAAAAAGTTTATATCTAATCTCATAATAAACTAAACAATTATTTATGTTTTGATATCACCATTCTTAAGTTGGTATTAGCGTGGCACTAACGCATTGACTGATAGAGTTTAATTAAAAAATCTTATTTCTTAATTGAAACGTATAAATATCATCACTGTTAGCAGTAAGCATTTATGGCAGACCCTCTAACTTTGCGAATGCACTAATAACAAAAATGTACAAAAGGTTACAAATGACGTGAAAAAAATTAAAATATCACGAAATGGTAATGAAGCAAAGGAACAAGAAATCGCGTTTTTTTTTGTTTTGAGTAGATATATCGGTAATATTGAGACAGTCAGTGTTGATGAAGCACAATTGAATGAATCGGAAGTCGAACGCGAGTTATCAAATGCTCTTGTAAATGGAGTCCTGATTGGAATTGAAAAGGAAATCAGAAGATTAATTGTTCTGTAGTTAATTACAATTGTGGATAAAAGTCCGCGAAGATTTAAAGTGGCGATGTCAGATATTGCATTGGAGGAGATAGGAATGGACATATACTCTTGAGACATTGAAGTCCGAAATAGGACACGTGCAAAAATTAGTCTTTCTTTTACAAGAATAAACTTTTCATACACGGTTTCGAGAGAATGTATGCAGGATTATCAAGTATGTTTCATTTCTTTGCTGTTTGGCTAGTTGTGCGTTCGAGGAATAGAGATATTCGAAAATTTCATAAAATTACTTATTTGCGTGTTTGAAAATGGTTAATTTTTTGTTGTATACACATTGTCATTAAAATATTTTTTATTATAACTTTTAACTTGTGTATTATCTTCTGCAATTTAGCTCTTGTAATTTAAACACGTGAGAAGAGAACTCATGATTGTAATCAAAGGAAGAGTAAAGTGCAAAGTTGTCTTATTCATTCAAATTGTAGAAAGAACACACTAGAAATATTTTTTGTTATTGTATGTATCCTATATATATTGTTATTTTTTATGTATCTAATGTACCCTGGCATGCTGATTGGAATGATTCCGATACTACGGAAGGAGCAGATATTTTGTTACAAAAAGTCGTGTTAAATTGTAATATCTTTTTGAATTTAAATTCAATTAGAAACTGACTGACACACTTTAATAACTCGTTAAATAATTTTTATCAAACACAACACTGATGAGTTCCATCTTGAAAGAGAAAATAAACATTAATTCTGAGTCACAAATGTCATGGGTCATCTTGACCTTACATTTGACATAAATGTCACGCCCCCAAATGATATGGTGAATTGCTTGCAGAAGTCACATTATTCATTGCTTCAAAGTTCGTTCGCGATGCTTTAGCCATCGGACTTTGACACAGGCTCCCAAGGCGGAATAACTAGTTCTTCGTATTCTGGTGACTCAACTGTTGGCAATAAGAGGCATCAAAGCACCGCTCCATTTGAAACACAGCTTCTGATGGACAGTCGCAGCTGGAGATACTGTAAAAATTTAATGTGACATTTAACTATCATCGGTGTCTTTAGCAAATAGATCATTAAGAAAACACTCGAAGACGTGAGTAATGCTTCTTTAGAACTCAAACTAGTTAAGTCGACGGCGTAATTATTCCACATATTGCAATGTAAAAGTGATTTATTCCTTATAAAATTTCTGAATAATTACTACGATGATTCAGTTTCAAATAAAACACTTTAATAAAACTTATTTTAATTTTATAATCTCTTACAATTTGAATGTAATTAAGAGAGTATTTTCAAATCGAATTAGATGTATCTACGAAACCACAACTTTTCATAGTGGCTGAGGTATCTCAGTGATAACAGTTGTATCTGCAACATCGCTGCCTAGGACGCCCTAAGAGCATGAGTTCCGACGGTGGTGGATTCTCGACACAACCTACACAACTGTGTCGAATTATATATCACACCACTAACTGGAAGTGAATTCCGTGGGCCGGCTGCTCAGATTGGTATCTGGCAATCCGACGTGTTGGTCGCCTCCATATCTCACGTTAAAGCGTGGGAGGAACACCGCCACATCCCGGTATATATAATGCACTATGCTTACGACACGAAAATCTTAATTTTTTTTTTAGCCTAGATCAACATTCACTTATTACTTTTCTTGTCTATTTCTTTACGGATTTGATATTTCACTTCTGTGTTTATGTGTTTTACAATATTTTTAATAATCAGTTTTCACATATATGAAAAAAAAACATTACTTTTATATAAAGGTAAAAGAAAAATAATTATTTTTCAATATATGGCATCCGAAAGTACATAACAACTGGAATCGGAAAATACAAAAATGTTCGAAATCCAAGAGCATCCAATTTTGAAGAGCACGCAATGAGGTTCTAATGACCGGTTTCACCAAATATTTTGTTAGTATGACTTAACAGAGTCATACTTTGTTTTAAGACACGTTTTAAGCCGTACTTTGTTGTCCGTCGTTTCGGCACCCTCTTTTAAGCAACGCTTAGTAAAGAATAACTTAAATACATCCGAGAGTTGGTTGGCATGTTTGTTTTGGTTCTGGTTTGTACTGTGGTGTAAAGAGATTATTTTTAGTAATTCTTAGTAATGGGGAATGGCGAGAGGATAGCGAAATTTTCATTGCCGGAGAAATATGTGATCATCGATTATATAAGAAACTACATTTCTATTATTGGAAATAAAATTACAAGTGGAGTAACAAACCGACAAAAAATAACTGGCGGAACATTGAACGCAACTTTAAATCAACAAGCTGTAAGATAAAATTTAACTAACATTAAATAAAATAAAGTTGTGGCGAGGATTAAGTTTAAGTGAATGAGGAAGTGCAGTAAAAACTACTGAATGTAAACCTTGAAAACTGAAAGTAGAGACGGCACCATATAAACATAACCTACGAAACACTTGCTACGAACAATTGTTACTTTCAAGGCAATTATGAACTAAAATATTATTTTTTTATTTCTTTAATAATTAACTATGGTGTAAACTTGGACATTCCAGTCAGTCTTCAATTAACTTTAAAACATGTAATATTGTCATCTTTGATAGGCAAAATCGGGTGTCCAAATCCCTTTCATTAAGCTTTTGGAAATATTCTCACCGTCCAGGGTGCCACACCAGCCTACAAGAAGGTTTCTCAACGCTTCCGTCTTCACAATTATCACAGCTATCACTATCAAAAGCAACACTCCACAATAGGCTTGCTATTCTAACTGTTTTGGCGACTTAAAGGACGACTTAAAATGGATAATTGCAGCTGAGAGGTGTGCTTAAATTTAAGTCAAACTTATCGTTTAAGTCCGCCTTAAAGAGTTTTGTGAAACGGAAACGTCTCCTAAGTCTACCTTAAAATTCTAAAGATGAACTTAAAATTTTAAGTAATGCTGGTGTAACCGGCCGGAAGTTAGGGGCGTTGAAGAGTTTTCCCTAATATTAACCGATAAAGAACACTTTATACATGACACAGAGGTCACGAACGGTTATGCATGGAATGTTGAGTTTATGTCTTAAGAACAGTTACCCACCATTGATTCAAAACCAGCAAAACATCGAACATTTTGTTTGCTCCGATTCGTTTGTTAATGACTACGAATGAATGTGTCTTAGTATATTCACGTCCCCTTTAATGCTATTTGCGTCCAGAAATGAGTAGAGAAAAGGGCGACGGTTGTCGTGTCGCCACAGGAGGAGGCAAATTACGTCCCGGGCGCGGCATGTCGCGCAAAAATCCCAAGCTCATTACGAATCCCCCCGCAGGGCGTCTGCAGCCGCGCCGCGCCGCGCCGCACGGTCTGCATTGTTTGCTCGACGGAGCGCTGCGTCGGTGCTTAGAGGGGCCGCCGCAGGCAGCAGCTGGGAACCTGCACTTGCACTTGCACTTGCTTTTGCGGTTGGTTCACAAACTGCTCCCCAGACTCCCCAACCGGAGCTTCCTGTGTTTAAATTGCTTAATTTGGTGCAGTGGCCAAAACTCCATTAAAATCTTGCAATGTGCACTGAAAGGGATTCTGTTGACAAATTCTTTAACAGACGCCTACCAATTGGAGGGGGGGGCGCAACTATGATCACAGCAAATGGTTTTCATTTCACTTTGTTTAATGGGTTAAGGGTAACTATTGCATAATTTTGGATTTTATTTCAAAACCTTTCTTAACCCCTAGTAATAGTTTCTTCTTTCACCACTTACTGCTCAACAGTTTGAGCTAGGAAGCTTAGAATCTGACATAGTTTTGCATGACAGTTTGTACATCTATCATCAATCCATATATTCATTCTTATATCTCGATTTTTGGGAACACAATTGCATGTAGCTACTCGCCACCTGGATTAATCTCGACCATCTTTGGGACAGCAAAAATATACCTTGACTGTGACAACCTTGACTGTCCGCAAAGTTTCAACTGAAAGGAACCGTACATACGGATTTGATGACCAAAATTTCAAGATCTATTTTATTAACTATCTTATTTTTGACGTGATTTCCGGGAAATCCGTATTCTTCGCGGAATGGCCACTGTGGAAATTTTGCGTCACGTATAGCCTTATGATCACGTTCAGGTGAGCGTTGTGGCAGCGGTTTAATAGCGTTTTATTTCGGACGCGTTTCGACCGTTGCCGCTTGAGTTTCGTGGATGTGCTTCCGCTTTCGGGAGACTTCACTCCTCTCTCGGTCGAGTTTCCTTGCCTTTGTTTATCGGATGAGGAAAACTTTCACCAAACGCTGAGTCATAATTGACTCTCCGCTGTGAACGGTTCAGCCGATTCCGCCGCCGCGTCTAGCGCGGAACGTTCCGCACTGCACCCACTGCGAATCTCCCGCGCCGGTCTGTGAGACCTTAACTATAGTAATTTGTATCGCTAAACGTCAGTGGAAAAGAACTACTTGATGGCTGAACGCTTAAAAGAGAGAAATGTATTGAGGAAGTACTCACCGCAGCGGATGGCTCGAGCTGCCGGAGCTTCTCCCAGAACTCCATCCTCTTCCGGAAGGGCGGGCCCCTCCTCACCCGCGCCCGCTCGTCGATCTGCAGGAACCGGAAGTCGTCCCCGGGCCCGGCCGCAGGCTCCCAGAGCTCCTCGAGCTGGGGCGGCGCGGGCCGCGCCTCGCGCGCGAACGTCGCCCACACGGCCGCCAGCAGCTCGGCGACGCGCCGCTCGGTGGCGTTGGGCCAGCCGGCGGGCGCCGGGAACTGCCTGCCCAGCACGTAGAGCAGGTCGTCGCCGTGCACCACGCCGCCGACGGGCCCTCCGCGGCGCGCCGTCTCGCTGACGCGGCCCGGGAAGCCAAACACGTACAAGTAGGCCGGCGCGCGGCCCGACGCCGCCTGCAGCGCCAGCGCACGGTACGCCGGGTAGTTGAAGAGCGCGTCGGAGAAGAGCGCGGACGCGTTCGCCTCAGAGAAGAGCTGCCCGCGAGCGCCCGACGCCCCGCCCAGGTAGAAGCGCCGAAGCCGCCCCACCAGACCGCGGCGCACGCGCACTGGGCAGATCTTGGCGATTTCCTCGTCGAGGAAGGCGTCCTCGAAGGCCTCCTGGCGCACGGCGGCGCGCAGGTTGCGGCCCCACTCGAGGCTCTCGTCCGACGTCACCCCGGCCAGGATGGGCACGGACGCGCCGCGACGCACCAGCTGCGCCACCGGCGCCGCCACCAGCCGCTCCTCCCCCTCGCCCTCTTCCACCCCGCTCGACCAGCTGCGGCAGACAGACAGCGACGGCGGCCGGCGCGTTAGCTCGAGGGCGAGAAGTGGTGGAAACATTGTTACCTCCCTAACAGTCTAATGCCAGTTAAGAAAAGTTTTTGCAGTTTGCAGTTAGAAGAATCTGTAGATTGGATGACACCGTAACAGCTGAAATGTCAACAGACACTGTACATAAATCGAAGTACAATATGCTCTGGTTTAGTGAACTTCTGGGAACTAACATATTTGGTTCACTATACCAGAAGTTCACTACATCCGATGATGTCACAATTAAATAGAATTTCGACATAACAATTGATTGTATTAATACAGAGATACTACATCAAATATACGTTAACAGCATGAACGGAAATTCTCAATATCTTTATTTGTCCACAAAAAATGAAATATTTTCAAATGTTTGTACTTTTTCATTAGTAATTGTTCTAGATCGTTCTCCAGGGTTCGTGCTCTCTAGGTACTTGATTCTGCTTTGTCCTATGTATCTAAGTATCGTAATACAGTCTTGTGACACCTTTCAATACTTCTTCCACTGTTGAAACACCGTCCCACTTTTTGGAGGCCATTTTACTCGTCTTATGACATACTAAATGCTTTCGGTAGTGTAATGGTGCAAGCGGCTAATGAAATTGATCACTATTTCGTAGTCTGGCGATCTCTGCCATGCCGAACGGAAGTCTCGTGCTCCCTGTCGCCTACGTTCACGCAACGCGCCTTGTCTCGCGGAATACCAAGTAACACCAAGATTGAAACTGAAGTCGCACGTCGCCACCAACAGTTGTAGCGCACGCATGATACGGTCTATGTTTTTAACAGTGAAACTTAGTGGCATAGGGTCACCAGTAAAGGGTCCATTTCGGTTGCCCTACCTTTACCTCAGGAGACACTTCTTCGATTATGATCTTTGGCCGGCGATGTTTTTTTCAAGCTGCCTAACGTTGGATTTTGTGGCACTAAGGATTTGTTCCCAGGTGCAAATATTTTCTTTCCCAGGGGAAAATATTTTCTTTCCCAGGGGGAAATAATTTCCAGGACATTGTATTCCCCATAACCGAGGTTCACTATAACCGAGGTTCACTATAACCGAGGTTATCTATAACCGAGGTTCTCTATAACCGAGGTTCCCTATAACCGAGGTTCCCTATAACCGAGGTTCCCTATAACCGAGGTTCCCTATAACGGAGGTGCACTCTGACCGAGGTGCACTCTGACCGAGGTGCACTCTGACCGAATTTCAAAGTTCTCTATAACCAATTTTTCTTGTACTTATCTGTAATGAAAGTGAAATGGGACCAGTGAATTAAGTTCACTGTAACCGAGGGTTCACTATATCCGAGTGGATTAGAAGCGGAGTCGTCTGAGGCGTGGCTGCGTTGGCTCACCTGGCGTGCTCGACGACGGGCGCGAAGAGCGGCGGCACGGCGGCCGGGCGCAGCGCGTGGTAGGTGCGCAACAGCGCGTGCGCGTCGGCGTCGCGCAGGCAGCGCGCCAGGGCGGCGGAGGGCGCGGCGCGGTCGCACTGCGCACGAGCGGCGCCGACGACCCGGCGCCGCGAGGCGGGTGCCCGGCGGCGTCAGCGCCCCAGCGCGACAGCGCGCCGCCGCTCGCCAGCAGCACCCGCGCAGCAGGCGCGCCGCCGGCCGGCGCCAGCGCAGCAGTGGGCGCGCCGCGCCGCGCTCGCACCGCCAGCGTCACGCGCCCCGCGTCGCCGCCGAAAGCCCCGCGTTGGCGCGCACCCACCGCAGCGCCGCCAGCGCGTCCTACACACACACATACAACTGCTTTTATTAATTACACAGGCACACACACACATTTGTCAGACCCACACTTTCTCTATTTATTTCGACGCCTGGAATCCGGAACTGAAGCCAGAATTGTGCCACCTCCTTTCATTTAAAAATGAAATGAAATGAATTGTTGATAGAATTTTTTTCAATTTAACAAACTGGAAGGTGTTGGCGCAATTCTGGCTTTAGTTTCCGATCCAAGGCGTATATGTACAGAGTGAATTATGTGGCAAATCATCGGGTCTGACAACGACCTCCGAAAACAAAAAAATATAATTTCAGGATTTGTGTTTGTGTGTTTTAGAAAGAGCGATATAGCAATTATGGGCTCAGATTCGAATTCACCGCATCGATAGTCATAGATAAACATGTGACGAGTCTTAGGGTCAGACAATCTATTTTATTTTGTGCGCCTGTGTTATTTTTTTTCGGAAGCGTCTCCTCGTGATGGTAATAGTCCCATAAATGTATTAATTTTGATGCCTTTCGCGAGCTGAGTTTGTATTATCTAAGACTATTTGGAACAAGCCGCGTCTCTGGCGTGGTAGCTGATGTTTCGGCAAACATCTTGCCTTTCTTCAGAACGTACTGAGGAAGCCTACAAAAATAGTGTAGACTTTGAGGAAGGCGACATGTTGACCGAAACGTCAGAACCAGGCCAGAGATACGGCTCGTCCTGCCTCGGCGGTCCGTAAGTGTAGTGCTTGTTTTTATCGCGGGAGAAGGCGGTGATCTTCCCCCGCTGTATGGTGAGATCAGACCCAGACCTGCAGGTCGGATAGTGGAGTTCTCCCCGACCAGTTATCTCCCACCGCCGCCCCAGTCGGCCCATTGTGCACCGCCGCCCCAACCGGGACAAGCTCTAATCTCCTGACCAGCTTATATGACGGACATCAATATATGTCATTGTAGTGTCACACACCAGGAGGTCCAAGGTTTTGTGTTCCGACGGTGCCAGCTTTTTCAACACTATCCACTAGCTAGGTTGAATTCAGGCGGAGTCTGGAGGAGAATTCTAGAGATCTTTTCTTGTGATCGGAAGTTTATTGTGTTTTCTCCGATGAATATGGCGAATTTCAGAGCAGTATCCTTATAAACGAGCCACGGTCCGCGCGCATTTTTTCATTATACCTGCCCCTACACACTGTTAAAACGTATAACTACCACACAACCACACATGTTGGAAGACCAGTTAGGAGCTTAAGGACTTATCACGGGGGGGCGGTGTATCGCTAATCTGGGGAAAGGAAAACGCCAGGAAAGAACGTGCAAGTTGGCGCCGGATCTTACGATCTGGCGGTACAGGATGATCACCAGCTCCCGGAATAAAAGAGGGGGAACGACCGTGGCAGTCGGCTTGAGCGCGTGACGTGCCTTGAGGCCGTAGTTGCCGGGCATGGCGGCGTCCTCGGTACTGAGGAAGCCGAAGGGGCCCAGGCGGTAGTTGAAGGAGACGAGCAGCAGGTCGTGCTCCATGAGCAGCTGCGGCTCCACGAAGCGCAGGCCGCCGTGGCCCTCGAGGAAGGAGCCCCCGTGCATGTACACCAGCACCGGGTGGTTCTCAGCCCCCACGTGCGCGTACACGTTCAGGAACAGGCAGTCCTCCGACCCGGACTCCGACAGGTTCAGGTGGCTCACCTGCCGAAAAGAGCTCTGATTAACGCAGAAGTGGAGTGGAAAAGAAGAAAAAGAAGTTATTCCGACCCTCTACTCCGACTGATTCAAGTGGCTGACCTGCCAAAAAGAGCTCTGGTTACCGCAGAAGTGTATAAATGCATTGTGGAGAAGGAGAAATAGAAGTTATTCCGACCCCGCCTCTGACAGATTCAGGTGGCTCACCTACAACGCGGACAAAGCCAGAAATATCAGAAATGAAATGCAAACCCACCGTAGAGAAGGAGAAAAGAATTATCTTCCGCAAGAGAGTAGTTACATTTACAAATAAAACTATTCAATCGAGAAACATTTTTCCCGCACCGAGACTCGAACTCATGCTCATTGAGAGTTTTTTTTTCATTTTGTGAAAATGTTTTTTAAAAACATAAATCACATAATAATGTACGCTTGTTTTGAAAGTACGCATACACATACAAGAATAAGCAGTTCTCTGCCCCTACTCCGACTGGTTCAGGTGATTTATCTGCTACCCAGCGAATAGTTAAAAAGTTCAGGGTTATTGCAGGAATAGTGTGGTCCCTCAGTCGTACATTTCAAAGTCGTAAAACAAAATCCTCACCACAATAGACTGAAGTGGGAACTATCGGGACAGTTCTTCGAACCCCTTTGATCATCATGTACCTAATGTGGCTTCGCACATTTGAATGGCTGAAAACCAGAACAGTAATTATATACAGTTAATTATAAGTGATATTTTATAAATTATAAGAAATCTCTTTATTCAAATCATAATCATTGTAGAATCGTGGTGCTTTGTTTCTTTATTAAAACCAATTGCAATTGTTCATCAAAATCGCGGAAATATATTTACATCGAAATATACTCGAAAATAAACTCGTTTTTCAGGAATTTAAAAATTGCCAATTTTAACGTTCTGGTTTTCACCCAATCATTTAACTCACAAACTTATTGAATCTACTTAACGTGTCTGGTACTAAATACATTCATCTGTCAATCATGTTTCCTAACCAATGTTAAGATAATTCACTGTACCCTCAATACAGCGTACTGGGCTACTGAGAGCTTTCAAGACAAGGCGAAATTAATTTTAAAAATATGTGGGATATCCGTAGTGGAGAGGAGGAAAAGAAGTTACCCTCCACAAGAGAGTAGTTACATTTAGAAATACAAGTATTGACTTCTGAAAACACTTTTTTACAAATATATGAACAGTAACTGCAAATAACTGGAAGGTGGCTTTCCCCTTCTCCAAAACAGACAAAAGGATAAAGTTTCGAATATTTTTTAGGTTGACTGTTTATTGCAGCTCGGATAATTCGATGACTATTGTAGTTTGTATTGAGTGAAGAACCGCACACAGTCGGTTTGGCAATGTTAAACTATTGTCTAATTACACCATTTTTCACAAAAAGGTGAAAAATTAAGTATTCGATTATTGGATATGGATTACGAAGTTCGTACACTACCGCTAAAACTATCACTTTGATCTAACTAATGGAAATAATAATGGTAGGAAGCATGCAATTAGTGCTTCAAATGACTGAGTTTAAATTAGATCACAAAATGTTCCATTGACAATCTATTAAAATTTTCATAAAATAACAAATTACTTGTCCGTTCACAGAAGGAAGAAGGTAGTTGAGTAAATAATTGTATTTAATATTTCGCAAGTGTTATTTTTACAGAATCGTCTTTTTGCTAGAAATAGTACAATCTACTTGAAAATATGATACTCTTTATTCTTAAAAAAATAACATTTTACCTTGAATCGTCTTTCATTGCAGCTCAATACAATTATTGTAATTTTAGTAATATGTCGGTCAGTGATCTTAGGATTACTCACAATGAAATGCAAAATTGTGTCTCGTCGCTTGCCAGGAGATAAGGGTAAGCCAGATTTTGAACTTTGACCATCTTGTAACGAAGAATCATTTGCATCACACACGCAATACTTTCGTAAAAAAATATCTGCATGTAACATATTGTAGTATATGAAATTCAGAAGTCCACTGTTTCTTAAGTTTTATATTTAGGGATCTGCAACGGTATTTCCAATTGGTCACCTACAATCAACTCCGCGACGTCATTTTGATGTTCACTTTAGTGAAGTAAAAAAATTAATTTCAGAGAAGTAATAAGTTTGTTTCAAAATGTATCTAAATATTTGATTTACCCCCAATGACCGAACGCAATGACTCTAAAAAGAGACTCCGACTCAATAGATTTGGAGCAAATTGTGACGTGCAAAGAAAACAAACTGGAATATTGACTCTCACATTTTAAGAATAAACAAAGTGTTTAGCAGAAGAAAAGTTATACGTTTAAGTATTTAAAAATGTGTAAAATTTGGCACACCTCAAACCATTTTTATTGTCTAAAGAATGATCATGTGTAAACACGATTATGATTCGGTAGTTTTGTGAAGCCATTGCTGAGTCAAATACGTATTCAAAATTCAAACTTAAAAACACTTCACATATCATGTTATGTTAATTACTTCTAACTTTGATCCGGTTCTCCGGAAGGCATTCACTTGCCAGTCAATTACTCTAGAGCTGAAGGCATCCTATTGAGTTCACCGGAAATGAAAAGTTAGTTTTGAAACTCGCCTCAGAGACGGTATCCTTCAGGCACATGACCTGTAGATTGAGAGAGATATTTTACTACCCATTTAGAATTGTTGCAGGATTCGTAGCAATTGCTAACTTGAGCTGGAAACTGAGAGTGGTTAATGAAACTACGGTTGATCTCAATTAACTAACAAAGAACCTAGAGTATAATTCTACTTTCATAGAAATGTTCAATACAACATTGGTTTCTGTCCAATTGGGAACATTCACCTTCCTTTATAATATGGTCTCGATCTTTCAGTTGATACAATGTTTCCAATACAAATAAAAATAGGTGTAAATTTCGAAGGATATTACACACTTTCATTGAAATTTCATTAATGTAGTTAAGCAAAACAGATTAAGTGTAAGGTGACGTGAATCTCTAGTCGGCCAAGGCCCGCATCGGGTTGTCACACCAAAGGATAGGACAGGACAGGACAGGACAGGACAGGACAGGACAGGACAGGACAGGACAGAACAGAACACGACTCCTAAATCCCCTCTATACTTCTTATAAGTCAGCCAGAGTGAGGAAACCTGAAACCCACAGTGAGTATTCAAAAAATCCAAACTTGTGTCAATAGTGGAACTCATTGACTAACACTGAATTCAAGTATTAACAATTTCAAAAAATGCAGTTAAAGTATAGTGAAATGGGGACAATCTTGCGATACCAAAAAGAAATTTCATCTGATGGTGTATTTAGATAACTTCATTAATTCAAACTAGTAAATGTGAGAAAAACCTTTCGTAAACATGTCTCATTTTATTTTCTCTTTGTCAATTCCTTACATATGAACATACGTTGCGTATTTATTTACAAGTGCCTAATCAGATAATACAAGTAACACTATATCTGTAACAAAAACATAACTTTTAAACTTTATTATCTTGAACTACTTAAAAAAATCATTTAAAATTTGTATAAGTAAATTTGTTAGTTATTGTATGAATCCTTTATATTTCAAGTTTCATATTGGATTCATTATAATGCAGTAAGGATAACTTGGATACTTTTTCAGAACACACACCAGAGAAATAACTCTCATTGGCTTCCTTTTCATTATGGCTTTCTTAATAGACTGTCATTCAATTATGAATTTCTTGGAAATTCCTAGAGAAGATAATCTTATTAAAATATATAGATATATTGAGAAAAGCTAGTTCCACTATTACATCGAGGCAACAAAAACTTATAAGTTGACGTCGAATGCATTAAAATGGTGTAATGTAAACTACATAATGATAATTTAATTATTTTCTTGTCAACTATACAATTACAACAATTCGCTTTCTAAATGTGAATTTTCCAACAACAGAATTTAGTACGTTTCTACAGTTCAAACTGAGCGAATTCCCTGAGTCCTGAGAAACATTCTTGCACTGGGGTACACAAGTGTGGTTATTCTTTCCATGATTCCAAATCGATTGTCTAAATGTGCAAATTTCAAGAATATGAAAGTGACTATTAGTAACTGGACAACATTTTTTCCCTAAGGGTTTTTCCAGTTGACAGCTTGATACCCTTTCCGTCCCGATGGGACGCATATTCGACAAAACCTTAGACACCAATACACTTGCGGGCTTCTCTCATTTGGGGTGAACAGAACGCGAGGTTCTCCAAGACAACACATTCATGAGAGACAAACGACAAACAAGTACGCCTAATGTTGGAATCGAATCCGCGCCCCTTCGGACAGAAGCGCTGAGTAGGTACATGCTCTTATCCACCTTGGCCATCCATGTCGGCTACTGCACAATCTGCTGTACTGTTTTACTATCGAACGATAAATGACATTAACAACCCCCTAGGTGTTTGAGTACGCGGGGCAACGAAGTCATGAAATTCGCGTGATACTGCCTGAAGTCATGAAGAGGAAGAACTGAAAGACCTCAGCAACGAAGGCAAATTATTTTAAAAAATGTACCGCTTGATACAATACAGCCATGCTGATAGGCAAATCTTTGATTTGACTTAGATGTAAACATGAATTGTGAACTATAAACACGACCTACTTATGATTTATAATGTCACTTTTTTCCCGTGTAACAGCAGAGGGGCAAACTTACCCCTAGCCAAGATGCATTCAGAGCTGTGTCGCAAATTGGAGGCGGAAACGGCAAACCTTTCTCCGGTAACATCGGGAAAGACGTAGGAACAAAAGATAATTTTTTCTCAAAGCGCGGATATTAATTTTTAAATTATATTGTATTAATTAATTAACATTGTTTAAGTCATTTTATTATTATTATTATTATTATTATTATTATTATTATTATTATTATTATTATACACGATTTAAAGTTCAATGATAGCAAAAGATTAATATCAAACTATACAATTTTCGAATAAAGAGTATCGGTAACAATATTAGACGGTAAAAAGTTCCCTAAAGTAAAATAACATATGAAAGGTTAAACTGTGACTCTCATATAAAAAATACTGTCTTTATGCGATGTTATTAGCCCTTCTCGTACCACCACCAGTCGCGCCCCACCACCCACCACCCCTTTGCAGAAAAAGAGCGTTTTTTAATTTTCACATTTTCGCTGTGAAAAAATTACAATTTAAAAAACCATTTTTTACATATTCTCTTCACCAAATTAAAACAAAAAAAATGAGCTTAATTTTTCAGATTCTTAGAATATGGAAACCGGCACGAAAGAAATCTGAAAATTTCTATTCCAAACATCAATTTTTCTTCCTTTTCCAAATACTGAGTCCAAAATAACACGTTTTTGGCTGTGAAGGGTGGAGGTACTGGGAGGGGGTATGAAACACTCCAAAAATCTTTATCTTTAAGTCACAGTTTAACTAGTCAAATATTATTTGATTTTGTGGAACTTTTTACCATCTCCACAGGGAGTACCCTCCGTCTAGTACAGAAGAGTGTTGAATTTTGGAAGATCAGTTAAAAATTAGAGGGGATATGGAGGAAATGGGTTGACACCCTCTCCAACGGAACGACCTCCGGTGAGATTTGAAAGTCTAACGTTAGGTGATAGTGGTGTGATGGAAAATGGTAAAAACCAAATGATACGGCCTCTGGAAAGTTTGGTAGGTCAGTTTAAACTTGGATGACAAGTCGGAAATGGATTGACCCCAAACGGTACTTCCTCCTGTGGGTTTGGAAGGTTAAATGATAGCTGGAAATGAGTTGACCCACAGAAGTGCTTCCTCTGGTGAGTTTACAAGGTCAAACACTAGATGGGGTGCACTGTAAATGGAATGATACCAAACGATACTTCCCGTGGTTAATTTGGAAGGTCAAACATTAGGTGAGGTTCGCGGGAAATTAATTGACATAAAAAAGCACTTTTCCTGGTGAGTTTCGAAGGTCCAACGTATGTGAGGTTTGCTGGAACTGTGTTAACACAGAATAGCACTTCCTCTGGTAAGCGTGGAAGGACAATCATTAGTTGAGATGCACTGGAAATGGATTGGTACCAAACGGCATGGCTTTAGGTGCGTTTGGTAGGACAGTTCCAAAATTACGGATAGTTGGATACGTGGAAGTGGGTGCTTCCTCCGGCGAGCTTGGAAGCTCAAATGTTAGGTGCGGTTCACCGGAATTACGTTAACACAAATCAGCACTTCGTCTGGTGAGTTCGGAAGGACACTAGTTAAGCGAGGAGCCCCTGCGGCGGGTGGCGCGGTGGGCGTGGTACCTGCAGGCAGGGCGCGCCCTCGCGCACGGCGTCCAAAGTGCCCTCCCAGGGCCTCTTGTCGGCCGGCGGGCGGAAGCGGCGCTCGCCCACGGGCGCCTCGGCGTACGGCACGCCCCGGAACGCCCTGAAGAAGCGGCCGTGCGCC